TTTTCTTGAGTAGCTGATCCATTGGTTTTCGTATTTCATGCATATTTCGTGCGAATTTACCATAATAATTTACTGCTCCAAGATATGAACGTAGTGTAGGAATATCATGTGGTGGAGGCATATGAATTACTGCTTCAATCCTCGCTGGATCAGGTTTAATACCATGTTCATTGATGATATTTCCTAAGTATTTAATTTCAGGAAGAAAAAACTTGCATTTCTGGATTTTAAGGTGGAATCCATAATCTTGAATTTTGTGCAAAACATTTATCAGGTTTTGGTAGTGTTCATCTACATTTTTTCCTGAAACGATGATGTCATCAATGTATGCTGCTGTATTTTCTAATCCTGATATCATAGTTTCCATGATTTGTTGAAATATTGTGGGAGCAACTTTCATTCCAAACGGAAGTCAATTGTACGTGAAAGGACCTTTATGAGTATTGATTGTCAGGAATTTTCTTGAATTTTCATGAACCTCGACTTGAAGAAATGCATCTGATAAGTCTATCACGCTGAATATTTTAGAATTCCCCAGTCTCGAAAAAATGTCTTCTGGAGTTGGAAGTGGAAACTGATGAGATTGAAGAGAAGCGTTGAATAATCCCCACAAATACGAATATTTCCATCAGATTTTTTCGTGACTACAATTCAGAGTAATTAACTGGAGTGATGATATTTAGCTTCTGGAGTCTATGCAACTCTTCTTCAACTAAATGTAACGATGCATATGCTACTGGTCGTTTTGGACGAAATATTGATTTGCTTCCTTCTGATAGGTGTAATTCTACCCTTCCTTTTGTATAAAGTCCGAGAGTGTCAATGAATAAGTCAGGAAACTGCTTCTGAAGCTGTTATCCAGTCAATCCCTAGTAAATTGAGGTTTTTTATTGGAGTAACGTGGCACTTCCCTGAGTATGACTGATTTCTGAACACAATATCACATTGGAACTCGGAGATTAGATTAAGTCGTTGACTACTCGCACTTTTGACAATGTTTTCAGTTGAACTACATTGTGGTTTTCCTAATTTGGACCATGTTTCCTCCGATATGATGGTGATATCTGATGCTGTATCTATTTGAAGGTTTACTGGAATACCATTAATTACAACTTCAAGGTATTTACGTTGTTTCTCCGTTTCTTGACGTTACAGTGTCCTGTTTTTTTGCAGTCATTACAAGTGTGATTGCGAAAATTGCAGTTTTTTGAATAATGCATTTGACCACAGTACCAGCATGGTGTTTTTGGTGAGTTCCCATTCATGTGTGAACTGAATTGAGAATTCTGACTTCTCTTCGTTGATGAATACTTATTTTTCTGAGAAACTGCATTAACGACTGGTGTTATATATTGTTCTATCATTGCTGTATCGTTCTTAAGATTCAGTATACGTTGACATTCGGAAGTAAGATCTTGAAGTAATAAAGATTCTGAATCTTTTCCATCAATTTTAGATAGAAGTGTGGTTCTGATATCTGAATCATTACCAGATTGAAGACCGCATACGAATATCAAACATTTGAATTGATCTGCTGTGATGTTTCTGATGTCGAAATCTTCACAAAATTTATTGACTTTGGATGCATATGCCACAAAATCTTCTCCAGTATTTTTGATGAGTTTCATACACTGATAACGAGTGTTGAAAATTGATGACTTTTTACCAAATAATTCAGTGAGTTTAGACAGTGTCTTTGAAATTGATTGATTTCGGTTCTTTCGGCAGAATGAGATTGACGTACTGTTGATGAACATGTGTGTCTAACTTTCTTAGAAGTAATCTGATTTTGGCTGAGTCTGAGAGATTCTGAGCATCTTCAGTAAATAAACTTTCATATCGCTTGTACCATGCTTCAAATGTGGAATTGCTCTCGGGTCGTAGTGGAATTCAGTTATGCTGTTGCCTAAAGTTTCCATGCGGAATTCTTCACCGACGTCTCTGGCTGGAACATTTGCTGATGAGAAGTTCTGAGACATTCGTAAAAGGAATTCTTGCTGCTTGATTAGCTGCTGCTGCTGAAGTTGAGCCTGGGTTTGTTGAGTTTTTATAAACTCAAGAATTGTTTTCTAGAACTGATCAGTCATGATGGTTTTTACTTTGATTGGTTTTTATTAAAAATCCTCGTCGCCACTTTTATATTCGTGAAAATATAGTGAAACTCTGGGAGCTCAATAACTTTGACAACTTTATTAAATTCCCATAAAACAACTGACTCTTTGTAACTAACAACAAAATATGTCATCTTCAGTCTCCTCTGATCTGAAAACAACTTGTTAGTTTTCAGGGCTGCCAACACATGGCAACCTCAACAAAAGTCATTTTGGCAGGGTTGATGAAGAATATTCTTTTTGTCAGCCACCAGCGTGAAAATTTGCAAGATTTAGAGGATCTTGTTGAGAGTTCTTTCAAAATTGACAGTTTGGGAGTGAAATATTACAAGAAATCACAAATCCAATCTTGGAAGGAACTACTAGGATTGATTTGAACAAGTGGCAAACTGGATTTTTGTGGAAAAGTGACCAGTTCAAACTCCCAAATAGTAAACTTACTGCGCTAAACCGGCTGAAAGCTATAGAGAAAAAATGGACAAAGACAAAACTTTGCTGTTCAATATGAGATGAATATTTTAGAATATTTGGAAAAAGGGTATGCCAGGAAATTAACCAATGAAGATATTCAGAATACATCCCAAAATATATGGTACTTGCCTCATTTTGCTGTTACGAATCCAAATAAGCCTGACAAAATACGTTTTGTATTTAACGCAGCAGCAAAATCCAGTGTTACCAGCCTTAACGACTTTCTCTTGAAACGCCCAGACTTGCTAAACTCTCTACTTGGAGTCATTTTTAAATTCAGGCAAAGAAATATATCAGTAACAGCAGATATACAGGAAATGTTTCATAGAGTCCAAATTATACAGAAAGATAGGAATGCACAGCATTTTTTGTGGGGGGAAGAAGAAGAGATGAAGAAAATCCTGAAGAATATGAGATGGTTTCCATGATATTTGAAGCAGTTTCGTCTCCAACTTCTGCCCAATTCGTGATGAGAAGAAACGCACTAGAATTTAGAGAATACTTTCCAGAGGCTGTAAGAGCTATTTCAAATTGCCATTTAGTTGACGATTATTTAGACAGTTTCGATACTCTAGAAGAGGCTAAGACAATCACATCTGGTGTAATTAAAGTCATGGAAGAGGAGGTTTTATCATACGAAATTGGTCGAGTAACTCAAAGGAACTCTTGAAAACCATTCCAGATGAATATCGAGCTATAAATCAAAAAGACATGGATTTAGAAAAAGAATTACCATTACCCATTCAAAGGATTCTAGGTTTAATTTGGAATCCTGACGAAGACAAGTTTGGTTTTTCAATAACATGGAATGAAAATGATCTCAAGAACTTGACCAAAGCACCTGTTACAAAAAGAGATATTTTAAGAACAGTGATGACTATCTTTGATCCATTTGGGTTCTTGAGCACCTTTACAATCATGGCAAGAATTCTGCTCCAGAATATTTGACGAACAAAAATAGGCTGGGATGATAAACTTACTGAAGATATGATGGTCAAATGGAAAAATAAAAAAAATTACTAATTTAACCATTCCCATATGTTACGTTTCGAATGTATTCGATGCTCAAGAAATACAACTACATGTCTTCTGTGATGCTAGTGCTCAGGCTTACGATTCCGTTGCTTGTGCTCAGGCTTACGCTTCTGTTGCTAATTTCCGTATCACCAAAAAAGAATCTTTTGAAACATGTTTCGTGATGGCGAAGTCCAGAGTTACACCTTTAAAACAACAGATATCTATCCCTAGGCTAGAACTTCAAGCTGCAGTTTTAGGGAACACACTCGCAGTGACCGTTAAAGAACACCACAGTATCAGAATCAACAAAATTTTCCATTGGACAGACTCTAAAACTGTTATAGACTGGATCAAATCAAAATCAACAACTTTTAAACCTTTTGTGGCACACAGGGTGTCTGAAATTATAGAAACCACTGATGTGAGGAGTTGGAATTGGGTACCTACGAAAGAAAATGTTGCCGATGAAGCCACAAGAGAAAATAATCTTCATTATTGGGAATCTAGTAGATGGTTAAACGGTCCCAACTTCTTGAAAGGCCCAAACGAGGAATTGCCCCAACTCCGTATTGACGAGATCGACAATTCTGAGGTGAAGAAAAAATTTGTTGGTGTTATTTCCCGAAACCAAGAAAATTTGAAGGAGGTATATATCAGATATAACAAGATTTTCATCGTGGTTGAAGTTGTTACGTGCAACGACTTGAATACTGAGATTCATCAGTAAAATAAGAAAAAAATCGCCATTCAACAAAGAACTCATGCCTAACGAAATAAAAATCGCCGAAAATTTATGTATAAAGTATGTTCAGAAGGAACATTTTCAAGACGAAATTGAGTACTTGCAAAATGATAGAAAAAGTGATCCTCTAGCAAGCTCTTCAAATTAACACCTTTTCTATATGGATGAAGGAATAATACGACTCAAAAGTAGAGTTTTGTATTCAAATGATTTTTACCTGATCACACAAAATTTCAATAATTCTCGAACCAACAAATTACTTCACGAAATTGCTGATTTTTCACTATCACTTAAAAGCAGCGCATAACGGTCAAGAGTATGTCGTTAATGCACTGAGACAACGTTACTGGATTTTGAACATAAGATCAGCAGTGAGAAGTTGTTGGAACCGATGCCAATTTTGCAAAAATAAAAGGGCAAAACCAGAACTACCAGAGATGGCACCTTTACCGAATTCTCGTCTAACCTCATTTGTTCGACCTTTCACCATAGTCGGAATGGATATTTTGGGCCTATGAATGTTTCTGTTGGCCGAAGACATGAAAATGAGACGGAGTACTGTTTACATGCATGATCACCTGTGCAGTTAATCTTGAAATGGCATACTCTTTGAGTACAGATTCGGCAATAATGGCAATCAGAAGACTAATTGGTCGTAGAAGGTGTCCCAAAAAGGTATTTTCCGATAATGGCACGAACCTGAGGGGAGCAGCAAATAAACTTGAGAGAGCCTTAAAAGATTTAGACCAGAATAAGTTAATTTCTAACTTAACCACTGACAACATTGAATTCAATATCATACCCCCTTCCGCTCCACATATGGAGAGACTCATTAGATTTTGAGGCTTTGCTCAGTTTCCATTCGTACAACATTGGTACGAAAGGTACGAAATTCTACTATCATGAAAACGCGGACAAAACTAAACAAAAAAGCATCGATATCCTTGTTGGATCTTACGAAATTGGTGACATTGAAGAATTAATAAACAAATACATCTCACCTAAAACATTCAAGAAAAACCCTGAGGATTTTTTCTATTTAAAACCGAATAATAATACGTCGACTCATACGATATACGAATTTGCCGTTGATGCTGATCCGGGGTATGCAATTGACGAATCACCACAATAAACAATATTATGCTGCGAGTGCTCGACCAACATTCTAGGGTCATTGATTTCCGAAACGAAGAAATAATAATTCGTTTGGAATTGAAGTGGAAGTACGGTGCTGACTTTCTATAAAAATAATTCACCTCCATATCCCAAGTCAGTCTTCACCAAGGCCTTCACTATTCGACAACTATTGACAACGGAAAATAAATTTTTTCTGGAATCTCTTGGTTATCATGTTGTCCAATCAAGTGTTCAACATTTTCTGAAAACCGCAAAACGATGAATCCATACAAAAGGTAGAGTGGCGTACCTACTACCCTTATGTCAAGTCTTTGGCAACAAAGATTTTATTGAAATCAACGTCAATCAATCTGATACCTACGATGCTTTGTACGATAGTCCGCTATTCATTAGCGGAAAAGTTGAGAAGACCAAAGGGGACGGTACGGTGTCATTCGTAAACAATGCTAGCGTTTTCATGTTTCAATCTGCTAGTTATGAGCAGAGTGGTGATGAATTGGAAACAGTTCGTGAACTTGGAATTGTTAGTACCGTTAGAGGCTTCCTCACCTACACCAACAAAGATATCAAACACTTGGCCACCTCCGGTTGGACTTTTCCTAGCAATACAGGCGTCATCAATACAACGCATGTAACATTCAACATGCTCGTACCCATAAACCATTTTTTGTATATTTTCAACGATTGTCAGTGTGTTTCCAACGGTAAACAATACTTTCTATGTTTTTATTACTTTTATTTATAACTAACGTTACTGTAGTTTCGTCCTGTACGGACATTTTCAAACTTATACCATAAACTAATTAGTTAGATTATTGAATAAGTTTGAAAATGTCCATATAGGACGAAACTGCAGTAACGTTAGTTACAATTGAAAGTGGTAAAAAACATCATAAAAAGTTTTATTTCTCTTTTCTTCAATATCGATTTGCTTTGCAGATTCGTTTACCATGTTTCATCCATTATCGACATGAGGTACCACCACACACATCAGCTGCGTCATCGCTACAAAAGGCAATGTATGATGGTCCTGTGAGCTCACAAATAGTATGTTAATATTATAGAAATAAATAATTCTCATTGAAACTGTTGTTGTTTCAATCATTATTTAAGGAGATGTCATACTGACATTATAAATGTGTCGAGGGGTTACGCGTTGTGGACTCAACGTGGGGGCAATGGGCGAATGAAGGATTCGACGACATTTCAAAATACGTTGTTTTTGCATACGTTTCGACAGTTTCGCGAGCGTTTCGACCGTTTTGCCTGCGACCGTTTTTCGTGCGAATTCGACGCCATGTTTTTTTCATTATTGATGTATTTTGTTACACCCCGTACACATTGAGGTATCACAGGTTGAACTGTTCAGTTGTGATATTTTTTCTTAAATATGATTCAATATTATTAATATATCACTTTCGCGTTCCAATTTTTATCGAGTCGTGTTCCTAACCCTGCATGTTTAATTTTGATACCGGCAACGCTACAATACTTCATAAACAACGATTTATTTTACAACGGGCAACACCGAAATCGCGCTAGCAATGGAACACCTCGAAACCATCTCCCTCTCTTTGTCTCGATTACGTCACACGTGTCTCTCGCTCTTACAAACCCATACATACCTTTATATGAAATACTAGTACTATGTTGCTGTATCGCTGCTGTTCCAATAATTTGACAGAATCAGAATCAACGAACTTAGGCGTGCGCAGCGTTATAGAACAGTGCTTTTAAAAAATTATTCTTCGGCGCCATCTAGTGACGAGTTATAGAAAAATTGATAGCCTAAAAAACTTCTCTATAAAAATTACTTATACATGTCAAGTTTCATCACGATCGGTTGAGCGATTTAGAAGTTTATCACTTGCCGACCAACGAACAAACATCCATTTTTATACATATTATTAATTCTTTTCCAGATCTAAGTATATTTTCCTATCTTCTACAAGGAAATGACGATTACAATTTCCCTAACATTCCACCGACATAAAAAATGCGGTCAAGTATAATGAATAAGTCAATTTCGGTCCCGACAAATCAAACGCTATAAATATCCATCATTCGCAATCATATCCAATATCTTACATTGGTGTCGAGGCTAAGAGCAACGCCTACCACGCGGACGAACCGGGTTCGATTCTCATAACCATGAACTTTTTTTTAATTAGGATCACTTGAGTTACGTACCGAATAAGTACGTTCAACCAGCCGACTAGGTCTACGACCCGGCCAAGGAGCGCCGACGCTGCAGTATCAAATAGCCGGCATCCCAGGAAAAGCCAACATTATAATTTCTCACCATTTATATTACATTATTAAAAATTCAGTCTTGATGTAACTTTTGTACGAACAACTTGTCCGAATAAAAATATTTCGTCTTTTTAAAAACGGTCTTCGTTCTTTAAAGTACGTAATTGGCGCAGTCGTGGTAGGATTCTCGAAGGCATCTATCGATTTAGATATCCTTGAGTTTCAACTCTTCATCGAGAAGAACCGGATAAGTCGTTTCGGCAACGAAAAAACTCGGAAGCTGAAAGTACCATCATCGGATCAACTACGGTTCCAGAGGCGGATCCCAGTACCCGAAATCTCCAACACCAGACGATGGAAAGGAATTTTTCGTGAGTTACTCATTGTTCCCTTTTGTGATCCTATATGTCAAGCTCCTCAATTTTTCCTGAATCATTAGGTGATATCAGTGCAGAAATTGAGTTAGATTTAAGTCAATCACTAGAAGCTCTTAGTATAAATAATAATCAAACTAGACAATTAGGAAATATAGTCGATTTTATCATGGCAGTAACACCAGTTTTGATTTGAAACTTTTGCAAATCATACCAGAGTTTGATGGTAACCCTTGCAGACTTTATCGATTTATTTCAACATGTACCGATATATTGAACACCTATTGGGACGCCACTCCCGCAAATAATAATTGTGCACAAAATAAACTTTTACTCAACAGTATTTTTTCCAAATTGACTGGACCACTTACTGGTCTCTGTTCCAGGTTGTCTGCCTCTTGTAACTACCTACCTCTACATATCGCTTTTTTTTCTTTTGTTATATAATTCTATTGTCTGAAATGGACAAAGACACAACAGGCACCTGTGCCTAGGTCGTCCTTTTCAGACACAATCTCTACCTTAAGTACCTTAAGTTAAGTTTGAAATGTAATGATTTATCTTATAATGTTATACATTTATTTATTATACCTCTCAATCCAAACTTTGAAACAACCAATATTAATGGCATACTTTGTTGGATGTTTTGATATCGAATCAAATAATGTTTTTGATCAGAGGAAAATATTTGAATTTTTAATCTTGAATGGTTCAATGTTGTTTCTGTACTCTTGGAATACATTTCTCAAAAATTGAAAAACTTCAATATTTCAACAGAATAACACTTCCTTTGTTAACCGATCATTGATCACATAGTAGTCCTGATTCAGCAAATATTACGGGGTGGAAATTGTTGTTTGGTTGTTCCTCAATTTTACCCGAAGATACTACCACTAAAAGGTTGCATTGAGTTGTTGGAAAAATCATTTTTCAATAATAAAACTTGTATTTTTTAAAAATTAAGGTACTCGTCCAGTATGCTCATAACATATGTAACGAATCATAAATCAATAGACTCATTATTTTATAACCAGATTGCGTTTGAATGAAGTCCACAAAACCCTGTAATTTCATTTCAAAATGTACCTTCCAAGCGATTTTTCCAGGGGACCATCATCTAATCTATGAGCCACCGCAAGATTTCATTTTCATTGATCCATTGAAAAGATCTTGAAAATAAGTAATTTTTGTGCTTTCTACTCCTATGCAATGTCCCCCCCCCGTTCATTTTTTGAAGGAGTCGACTCAAAAAATTGAAATTTGATATAATGAAATGACTGGATGAATACTTCATTTTGAAGTGAAAGTATTTCTCTATATTAGATTTGGCAAGTGGTTTCCATCAAATAGAGATGGCCCCGGAAGATATTCAAAAAACAGCCTTCAATGTCGAGAATGGCCATTACGAGTACCTGAGGGTACCGTTCGGGTTGCGAAACGCCCCAGCAACCCTTAGTAGGGTGATGGACGACGTTTTCAAAGGTCTCCAGAATTATATATGTTTAGTGTACATGGTAGGTATTATTGTATACTCAACATCCTTACAAGAACATATAATCAACCTGAAAAAACTTTTTCAAAGGCTACGCGAAACAAACTTGAAAATTCAAGTTGACAAATCAGAATTTCTCAAGAAATAAGTTTCTTTTCTTGGGCACATTGTAACATCAGAAGGTGTTAAACCAAATCCGGATAAAATCAAAGCTATTATGCAATATCCCATCCCAACAACTACGAAACAAATAAAATCATTTCTTGGACTTTTGGGATACTACCGTAAATTTATTAAAGACTTTGCCAAAATTACAAGACCATTTACACTTTGTCTGAAAAAAGGCGACTTTCGGTCTCGTGAAAGTTACGCGTCGCATTGTAAATGAAAATCGCTTCAATTTTTTCTTTCTTTCTACCTTTCTACTAGTAAAACCAAAAACTAAATGAGAATATTCTAACTGAACAATAATGTTCATTGTCGTACTGACTTTTTTGTCGTTTTCATAAACGAAAAATAACTTAACAAACCTTATCGGGTTGTTGGAATTGCCATATGGCAGATAAAAAAGAATATTGATAGAAATATCGATATTAATGTGTTTGTCTTCAGGAAATTATTAAATGTTCCGCCATTTTGTAGTAGGAGACGATATTGACTTCATATTCTAGAGTTATGAAGTATTCATCAGGAGCTTGAAAATGATATGTCACAAGACCCCCCTTTCTATTTATTTTTTCCCACGTTGCGCCCAGTAGCTATACAAATAGAGATGGCCCCGGAAGATATTCAAAAAACAGCCTTCAATGTCGAGAATTGCCATTACGAGTACTTGAGGGTACCGTTCGGGTTGCGAAACGCCCCAGCAACCCTTAGTAGGGTGATGGACGACGTTTTGTATACTCAACATCCTTACAAGAACATATAATCAACCTGAAAAAAGTTTTTCAAAGGCTACGCGAAACAAACCTGAAAATTCAAGTTGACAAATCAGAATTTCTCAAGAAAGAAGTTTCTTTTCTTGGGCACATTGTAACATCAGAAGGTGTTAAGCCAAAGCTATTATGCAATATCCCATCCCAACAACTACGAAACAAATAAAATCATTTCTTGGAAGTTTGGGATACTACCGTAAATTTATTAAAGACTGCCAAAATTACAAGACCATTTACACTTTGTCTGAAAAAAGGCGCCACAATCAAGCATGATGGAAATTTCATCAAAGCTTTCAACCATTACAAAACTCTTTTGACAAATGACCCAATATTACAGTACCCAGACTTTGACAAGCCTTTTAACCTTACTACAGACGCCTCAAATTCGGCAANACGATTTATTCTGCTACCGTAAAAGCATGCCAAAAAATTAAAATTTGCCTCTGTAAAGCAATTTAAATTATATAGACTGATTTTTCCATTATTACTTTCAATCTCATAAAATTACCGGTTACAAAATAGTTACAATGTTGTAAAAATCGTCGAAATTAATCCAAATTGCATATAAAATGTATGCTTCGCTGAGGCGTACTAATGCATTTTGTCACTCGATGATGTCGTGCGCGCAGAGGTCCAATTCTCGTCGCCCAATTGATCATATCTTTATGGTTATAGTATCATGGGTTCTGACCGTCCCGTTACATATGCATCTAGGACACTGAACGACGCGGAGCATAACTATAGCACAATAGAAAAAGAACTTTTAGCTATTGTATAGGCCACGAAGTATTTCCGACCCTACATTTTTTTTAGAAATTTTTTTATTTATACTGACCACAAACCACTTCAATGGCTGATGTCTTTAAAAGAACCAAATTCAAGACTCGTCCGTTGGAAGTTGAAATTAGAAGAGTTCGACTATCAAATTATGTACAAAAAAGGAAAAAAACACCAATGCAGACGCCCTCTCAAGAATTGAAATCCACGCCAATGAAGTAGAACCACAGCCC